CTCCAAAAGAAGCAAAGTGCCACAACTTCCTGCCTCAGCAGGGGGTTGAATTAGAAGACCACCAAGGTCCCTTCCAACTCTGTTTTTCTGTTTTGTTCAGCTGCACCACCATATAGAGCAGGGGTGCCAAACTCAAGGCCCATGGGCCGGATCCAGCCTACTGGGTGTTTAGATCTGGAAACAGCAAAGGAACGGCCCATGGGCCTTGAGAAGAAAAGGGAAGGAGGGAGGGAGGGAGGGAGGGAGGGAGGGAAGGAAGGAAGGAAGGAAGGAAGGAAGGAAGGAAGGAAGGAAGGAAGGAAGGAAGGAAGGAAGGAAGGAGATTATAATGAGAGGGAGGAAAGTCCTGCCTTAGCACTTGGCCACCACAGGTGCCCCTGACATGAGTGATGTCAAACTGGCCACACCCACCCCAGCCCCCCAAGGTCAAACACAACCCTGATGCGGCTCTCAATGAAATCGAGTTTGACATCCCTGATATAGGGGGAAATCATCACTTCAATGCACTCTGAAGAGACACCTGGCTCAATTCTCCATCAGAATGAACAGCCTCTTTGAAAATCTCTGCAAAGCTTTCTGTAGGTGCCAGGCTTATGATAAGGAATAGATGACACTGGTGTCACTATGCATTTGTACAGGTTGCATTTCTCACAAGGGGAGATCCCCATGAAATTATTTATTGTCAGTTACAGTCCCATTCCAACAAGCTTTTGTTAAATGCAGCCGATTGATCAGAAGATGACAGAAGATGATGCATATGTTGATTTATTGGGGAGGTAACGTCCGAACTGAAACTTAAAAATTCTATGTAGTGTATTTAATAATTTTTGAGGCTGTTAAGTATAGAAGAAAGTTCTTTCAAGTGAGGTACCAACCTAGGGATGCTGAACTATTTCATTTGAACCTTATTTCAGAGTAAACCAACCTGGTCCATATTAATGGTCCCAGTACATACTGAAATACGGTTTTTAATCTTTCCTAGTTTTTAAATTGTCCTTCTCATCTCAAAACATAAATATACAATTCAAAATCTATGATAAAAACATATTAGCATAAAATAGTTTTTAAAATAAACATCTAAGAAAATATGTACAAAATAAATGTTTAGGAATTCATTGAGAGATATTTCATTTTTTTTTTAAAAAAATTGCAGATTAAAACAGAAAGCAGACAGATTGCACTTAATGAAAGAACATCTGTAAAGTGAATAAACTGTTTTTGCCTTCCATTCTGAAACCATCTGCCCTAATTAGGAAGTTACCATAGTTAAAAAAGCAGCAATAGGTAGAAGCATGTTTAGCAAATGTAGATTTATCATTTTTTGGTTTCATGTTTTATGTTTGCCTGTCTACATAATTTTCTAACTAACAAATATACATGAGACAACTAATATAAACCTGAAGAGGAAATTCCCAAGCTATTTTTAAAAACTCCTCTAGTTTTGATTTCTGCAATCAAAACAAGTTATAGCAGTAGACCAGAAAGCTTTCTAAAGATAATCTTAAGATTCCAGTTTCTTCCATCTGACTTTACAGTTTTAAATTGCTGGTCTTCTTTGCAAAGCAGTATTATTGTGTTTTTGACCCACTGTTCTTCTGTTTTTGATTTCTAAATTTTATTTTCTCTAAGCTTTTAATTCTTCTGGCATGTTTTACAGTTATTTACTCCATAGTAGCAGCATGTTCCAGAAGAGGCATCTAGTGATCAGTCCCTTTGCCAGAATGTGCTCAGATGCAGAGCATGCATTCATATTGCTTTTGATATTTGCACTTGAAAATTATCCATTTTAATATAATCTGGGTAAAGTGAAAAGTGGCTGAGGAGTATAAATTTAAGTGTTGCTGCTTTGTCAATTGCCAAATATGAAGATAATACTGGTGCGATTAACATACCAGGAAAAAATCCAATTTGTGATGATGCAATTCCTTGGAGTTGTTCGTAGCAGTGCATTCTCATGGTTGCACTCAAGCTATGAATAGTGACTGCATTCTCATAGCTGTTGGACTTTAGCCATGAATCTTATTTGTAATTACTGTGGCTTGCGGAAGTAGGTACTCAAAATTAAATATATAATAGTAATAGGAGATTCTCTTTCCGTGCCAAAGCTATTCTGAAAAAGAGTTTAATTTTCTTGACCTTTTGAGTGTGCTTCTCTTCCAATGCTTTTTGCAAAATACCATGGAATGTTCTTGTCTGTTCAAATGTCATAAAATACTTCTCAGTAAAAAAGGTAAAGAAGAAAAAAAACAAAAGGAAACAGAAAACCCACAGAGGTTAAACAGTTAGCTCTTAAATGTATTTTGAAAAGTAGCTTGCCTAATGTTAATTCATTTGAAAGATATCTCTTTTTTAATACTGCATTTATTTGTCAGATGAACTTTCCTGAACATGCAATATTTGGAACTTCATAAAAGATAGATAGATAGATAGATAGATAGATAGATAGATAGATAGATAGATAGATAGAT